TTTAAGCTATAAAACCCAAAAATATCTCAGAAACTCACATAACGTAGCTTCACAACTGAAATATCTTCGAATCAGCTTGACTTGAGTCAAGCATCCAAACACCAAGATCCCATATCAAAACCTCAAAAAACTAAAAAGTATAACAATTTAAAGAACTAAACAGAGAAATTTATACATGATTGCTCAAAAAATAAAAACCTTTTTAAGACACACACCCACATGAGCAGTGTGACCGAAGTCCAAAAAGTTACAAATGTGAATCCAAAACCCCAAAACAGAGTGGATTTCTCTGAAAAAATTTCACAGCAATAAAAGGTGGGAACATGGAGCCTACCAGGCATACCTCGTCAGATCCCTTCTTCTGGGCCCCATCTTTTTCCTCACTCCAACGGCGTTCCTTCCCCTTCAGACCACTTCCTCAGTCCCTCAGACACCACAGTGACTTTTAGAGAGAGAGAGAGAGAGAGAGAGAGAGAGCGTCTCTCAGATTTTTCAATTTTTTGTAATCTCCAAAGAGGTAAAACCAAAACCCAACACTCAGAAAATTCTTTTTTTTTCACGAAAAATCTTCACTTTGTCCGTAACTCTAAATTTTGGGGGCTGAAGATTTGAATTAAAACCGTGTCTGAAAATGGTATATATCTTAAATGCCCATTATTTCAATCCCACGGTGATTGCATTTTGTCAAAACCTTGTCTTCCGAATGAAAAATCTTGTCCTTTGTCCTAAAGATACTTTCCCTTTCCCCGTTTCGGCCTTTTGGGCAATTACATATTTCCATGTTTCAGTCTTCCTTTCTCTCTCTACACCTGTGGTTTCTCTCTCTACACCTCTGGTTTAACTCCGCTGTGTTCATTTTCCAGAGATTTGGGTTTTGCCAAAGTTTGAACTTTTTCGGGGTCCTCATTGATTTCAGCCAACTGGGTTCTTCGACTTGAGGAGGAAAGATGGATTTTTTGCTTCCTTGTCCTTAGATTTGAATCCTGGTAAGTGTTCATATCTGAATTTTCAAGTTTTATTATTTTCTATTAATTTCTGTGTTATTATATTTCGCATTGGATCTGTATTGACTCAAAATACCATCTTCTATCAAATTTCGTGTCTTTGATTTTAGTGAGTGAGTATGTTTCAAGTGTCAGTTGGGTTATTTGGAAGCATAAATTTAAAATTTGTGTAAGTTTTTGGCTGCAATTATTTTAGGTATTGACTTTTGGGTTTCCATATATTTTTGGATTCCATTTCCATTGTAGCTGTATATCATTTACTGTATCGCTTGAATGAATTTCTTTGTTTTCCTCTCTTGGTTTCGAACACGAACAACGTTGTTTTTCTGTGTTAAGGGCATATACTGCTGTCTTGGTCCTCTTCCTAATTGTGTGAAGAGTAGACTTTCGTAGTTCCATTTGTCTGTTGCTGTCAAATATCGAAAATGTGTACATTTCTTACAGTGTTGTAGAATGCTTGTCTTAGTTTCTCGACTCTAAAACCGATTAGTTTGGAAAGAGAATTCAATTCTACTGCATTTTAAAGTTGTTTACATGAGATTTGGAATTCTACTACTGATTGAAGATGCGTCTTCCCTTTCAGAGTGGCGTTTACATCTTGCGCGACTGCACTGAATTTGAGTCATTCGGAAAGAGGGAAAGTTTGTAGATATGGATATCGGAGATGATAGCTCGAGGTTCTGTTCTTTACCGGCTACAACTTCAAGGAATATGTCCACCTCATCTTCAGCATTCTTTTCAGCAAACCAGTCGCCATTTTTCTCCCCAAGATCACCATCTTGTCAACTATCTGAATCAACAAGGTCTGATGCTCCATGTGATAGCATGGTTTTAAGTACAGATCCCCTTAGTTCCAGCTCTGGAATTCCAGACCTTGAATCTCTAGCAAATGTAAGATATAAATTGTCAAACATGTCACTGGCCCCAGCTGCTTCAGTCTCAGGCGATTTTGAGAAGTTTGACCGCGTGTCTTCCTCAACAGCCATTTCTAATAGCATTCTATCTAGTCACAGCCATGCCTGGGTCTATGAGTATTCTGGGCAAAGAGAGAGGCAGAGAAAGCATGGGACAAACTCTGGAGACTCATATATATCTGGTCCAGTTTCAATGACATCTAATAGACTGAGGAGCTGTGATGTTTTCATAGGTTTGCATGGCCGTAAACCTTCTTTGCTGAGGTTTGCTAATTGGCTCCGAGTTGAGTTGGAAGTTCAGGGGATGAGTTGCTTTGTATCTGATAGAGCTCGATGTAGGAACTCTCGCAAACATGGAATTGTTGAGAGGGCCATGGATGTCTCATCTTTTGGGATTGTCATCCTAACAAGGAAGTCATTCCGAAATCCATATACCATCGAGGAACTTCGATTTTTCGCAAGCAAGAAGAACTTGGTCCCAATATTCTTTGATTTGAGTCCAGGTGATTGCCTTGTCAGGGATATTGTTGAGAAGAGAGGAGAGCTGTGGGAAAGACATGGGGGAGAGTTATGGATTTTGTATGGAGGACTCGAGAAGGAGTGGAAAGAAGCCCTTCATAGCCTCTCCCGGGTGGATGAATGGAAATTGGAGGCTCAGGATGGTAACTGGAGAGATTGTATATTAAGGGCTGTCACATTATTAGCAATTAGATTAGGGAGGAGAAGTGTTGTAGACCGTTTAAGCAAGTCGAGAGAGAAGGTGGAGAAAGAGGAGTTTCCTTTCCCTCGAAATGAGAACTTTATTGGCAGGAAGAAGGAACTGTCTGAGCTGGAATTCATACTTTTTGGCGATGTCAGTGGAGAAGCAGAAAGAGATTATTTTGAGCTTAAGGCTAGGCCTAGACGAAAGAACTTGACAATTGGGTGGGGTAGGAGCAGTTCATTTGATGAAAGGCGAAGGGAACGAAAACTGGAGATTGGAAGCAGAAAAGGAAAAGAACCAGTTGTGTGGAAGGAGTCAGAGAAAGAGATTGAGATGCAAAGCACAGAAATTCCTCAAAGACAATCAAAGCCAAAAAGTGGTGGAAGATATTCAAGGAGAAAAAGATCAACAAAGGTTGTGTATGGGAAGGGAATTGCTTGTGTGTCGGGGGACTCGGGAATTGGCAAGACAGAACTTCTTCTTGAATTTGCCTACAGATATCACCAGAAGTACAAGATGGTTTTATGGATAGGAGGGGAAAGTAGGTATATTAGGCAAAACTACTTGAATCTCTGGTCGTTTCTAGAAGTCGATGTAGGGGTTGAAAATTGCTTTGACAAAAACAGAATCAAAAGCTTTGAAGAACAGGAAGACGCAGCCATAGCTAGAGTACGCAGAGAACTCATGAGAAACATGCCATTTTTGGTGGTGATTGATAACTTAGAAAGTGAAAAGGATTGGTGGGACCACAAACTTGTAATGGATCTTCTTCCCCGTTTTGGTGGGGAGACGCACATAATAATATCCACACGCCTTCCTTCTGTGATGAATTTGGAGCCTTTGAAACTCTCGTACTTATCCGGGGCAGAAGCAATGTCGCTCATGCAGGGTAGCGTAAAAGAATACACAGAAAATGAAGAATTGGATGCTTTACGGGCTATTGAGGAGAAAGTGGGACGCTCAACCTTGGGACTTTCTATTGTAGGTGCAATATTGTCTGAGCTGCCCATACTTCCAAGTAAGCTGTTGGAAACAACTAATAGAATGCCGTTAAAAGAATTTTCATGGAGTGGCAGGGGGACTAATTTGTTGAGGCGGCATACTTTCCTTCTGCAACTCTTCGAGGTGTGTTTCTCGATTTTTGATCACGCAGATGGACCGAGGAGCTTGTCAACAAGAATGGTCCAGGCAAGTACTTGGTTTGCACCGGCCGCGATTCCAGTTTCTTTGTTGGCCCAAGCTGCTCACAAGATACCTGAAAAGCATCAAGGGATGTGGTTCTGGAGAAAGCTGATGAAGTCTTTAACTTGCGGCTTTACCTCATCATACACCAAAAAATCAGAAGCAGAAGCGACTTCCACGTTGTTAAGGTTTAACATTGCTAGAAGTAGCACCAGGCAGGACCATATCCATTTCCATGAACTTGTCAAGCTTTATGCTCGCAAGAGAGTTGTGAGCGGAGTTGCACAAGCGATGGTTCAAGCTGTTATCAGCCGTGGATCAATATCTCAACACTCGGAACACATCTGGGCAGCCTGTTTCTTAATATTTGGATTCAGCCATGACCCTGTGGTCGTTGAGCTTAAGGTTTCGGACCTGCTGTATCTTGTCAAGGAAGTGGTTTTGCCTCTTGCAATACGGGCCTTCATAACATTCTCTCGTTGCAATGCTGCCCTAGAACTCCTCCGCCTATGCACCAATGCCCTGGAAGCAGCAGACCAAGCGTTTGTAACCCCAGTTGACAAGTGGCTCGATAAATCACTTTGTTGGAGGCCAATCCAGACTAATGCTCAGCTGAATCCTTATCTTTGGCAGGAGCTTGCGCTATCAAGAGCCACAGTGCTAGAAACTAGGGCCAAGCTGATGCTAAGAGGGGGACAATTCGACATAGCTGATGATCTAATTAGGAAGGCGCTTTTTATCAGAACTTCTATTTGTGGTGAAGATCATAAAGACACCGTAGCTGCTCGCGAAACTCTTAGCAAAGTCACCAGGCTTCTTGCAAATGTTCAAATTCATACTTCACCATAGATCCCATTTTTTTTCATAAGCAGATTTTATTCTAGCATTTATGGAGTCTGAAATAAAACAGTTGTATACCCCCTTCTGATAGATTTTCTATACCAATTTTTAGTCCGAAAGAGATTCCATTCCTTTCGCATAACATCATCATTTCTTGTTATGCTTATGTGAATAACATTTGTCTGCCTCCGGATTGGGGATTAAAATTTTGATTTTGCTCTTTCATATTATAAATAAAACTGTAATGCAGCTCCAGAGTTTTTGAAGGATTGTTCGATGATGACTTGCGGGAGTCGGGCATATGAAATATTGTTTGCATCTACGTCAACTTCTGGGTAGTATGTTTCTTTTTTACTACTTTTGAGTTTGGCATCTCGAGATCTTAATTTGATGTAGAATCAGTCTCCTACTCTATATCTATCTTGCTGTCTTACTTTGTTGTATGTTCGTTGAGGGCAGAAAGAAGCACTGGAGTTCCGAATTGCTGTCATGAGTGAAGACTTTCACAGCTCATCGCCATATTCCGAGTGCAAATCCAGGTAAACTCTTTCTTTCATCTCTTCACTTCCGAGCTGTAATTTTATGTTTCGATTAGGAGTGTGAGCTATAAGGAAAGATACAGAAAGCTTAACATTTGGATGTACGTTCTGCATAGATAACGGGCTCCCATGTGCTCGAAGTTGTTTATACGTATCACATCCGAAACTGAATGCACTCATACATACAAATTTATACGATGATCGTCTGACCAAATGCTTGACTTGTAGTTGTCTATTAATCTCTGAATTCAAGCACAGATGGTTAAGGATTTGATAATTGACAAGATATCGACGTAGTACTCGTCATGTTTGTGTTACAACGTAGGAAGATCAATGTAATATTTGAATTGACAGGATGCTTTTCTGCTCATTTTGTAGGCAAGTATCTTGCAACGACTTCTTTGTTTCTCCGCTACATGATCGATAATCTAGCTCTTACGCACTGTCTTGCCGTGGTCGGAAATGCAACGGTGTGTCCTTGTGAGCCTACAGCGCTGTAGAAACGGTGAATCTGCATACGTATTGAGACGCTTCTTTTATTTCTGTGCCGAAGTTTGACGGATGGAACTTATGAGCATGTAAGCAACACTGGAGTTGCTGAAACTTGTTTGGATTATAGCAACACTGGAGTTGCGAAAACTTGTTAGGATTACTATACAATAACAAAAGTATCCTCAATTTCGGTAAATCATTTTGACTTATTATTTATTAAATTAAGCGTCCTATTACGGTTCCAATTATAAGGAAGCAAAAAGTAATGAGATTCTGTTCTTAATTTTTAATGATATATTAGTCCTTCATCACATCTTTCACGGAAAGAGATCATCTTCGGATTTCTTCCATCAAGGTTATCGGATTAAGTGGTTTGAGCTTTTAAATTTCATCCAATAGCTCATCTGTTTTGATCCTCTTAAAAAGTGTAATAATTATTTCATCGTTGAATAAAATTTTAGTAGTCCGGATCACTTGATCCAGTAACCTTGGTGGAAGAGATCCAATGAGAATCTCTTTCCTTCTTTCACAAATGGGTTTGAGCGGAAATTTTTTTCTCATCACAAGATTTGTGGGTGATATACAAATGATACGTGTACGGTGCAAATGATTTGAGCAAGAAATTCATTAAATTTGAATAATTAACAATATATATCATTACTCGTAAAACTTAGAAAAATTACTTTGATCTTTATTTAACAAAAAATTTCACGAAAAAAACAAATTCAAAATTCATTTTTATCGATTTTAAATTTTGAATTTAAAGTGAGCAGTTATAAATATTTAAAACATTTTGACTAAAAAGTCAAAAAACAATAATTTACTTATTGTAGAAACACGAATAAATAGTCTGACAATAAGTAAGAAAACGAACAATTTGTCACGAATCCATGGGTGGCCTCCATCACCTCTGTTAGTGTGTATGATTGATTTCTGATAAAAGTGGGACCGGATTCGAAAGTGTAGTTAACTGTTGGACGTGACACCTTCTTCTGCATCTGCACTTTCATCGAAATTATAATCTGCAAAAACATTTACAGAAAAAAAAAAATATTAAAACAAAAAATAAAGAACCAAAAAGATAAAAACCAAATGCCCTCACGCAGGATCGAACTACGGACCTTCAGTTTACAAGACTGACGCTCTACCACTGAGCTATAAGGGCTTCTTGCTTTAATAGTAGTAATCATTATTTATTGCTTAAATATATTTTTGGTTCACATTCCTCTTTAAAATTTTAGTGGGAAGGAAGGGTGTAAACATCATTTATTGATTTATTTTATGCAATATATGGATTTATTTTTTATTCATTGAAATTTGAAAATAAGTATTGCTTTGTAGAGTTGCAATCAAACGGTTAATTGCTCCGATGGATAATGTTTTTCTCTTCAACCTTCCCTTTAGTCTGGCTTAGAGGAGTTTACTCTGTCTACATGGAATGGAAATCAGAATGCAATTAACTTGGCTCCTCAATAGGTGAGAAGAAGTTCCTCCACAAAATACTTTATGACCGAATCATGGAACTTCATGTTTATGCTCAGAATTGTTCATATTATAAATCAGTCCATAAAGATCTTTCCAAAAAATAAATACAGTATGAGATCGTTTAATCATCGAATTTTATAAACACAAATGGCCGGCTAGGACAAAAGCATTACGAACCGTTTATTTATTTGCTATAGTTGATTTAACTAAACAACCCTGTTTTTTAATTGATTTTTTTGCACAAATGATCTTTTACAAAATGTTTATAATATAAACAATTCAGACCATAAGCACAAATTTCATAAATCGGTCACAAAGTGTTTTGAGAAAGAACTCCTCAACCTTTGGAGCCAAGCATTCCTCAGTCAAAATTACCACTAGTCCAAAACTTTTTTGAGTCCCATGAATGGATCGTTCTAATCAATGTTCATAGTTCACCGTTCGCAATCAGCCAACTCTTGATCCGGTGATATATTTTTCTTCCTAATAATGGAATGCTCCAAAGTTCAAATACGGCCCAATTGATCGTCTATTGTTGGTAATTATGCACAGAGAGACACTTTCACAACATTCAAAACAATTAATCATAGTTGATTAATTTACACAACCTCCATGAAAAGCAATGACACAAGGGCAGGACTTTTTCCGTAATCCCTCAGTTTTTTCGGTTTAATTTTCCATTCCGAAGCAGAACATAATGTGCAGCAGACAATTAATCTGGCCAGCATTATACACCTAAGGATCGGCATGGCCTGCGACTGCATCATCACCGGAGTCATACTCATCTTCACTCAGCTCCTCATCACTTGATTGCTCTTCTCGAGCACCCCCTATGTCTTCTGGCTTTGCATATTTCTCGCAATACTCTGTAAAATACAAAGAATAATCAGCATTATATCTACAAACACTGATCCTAAAGCAAAATGACATGGTGAAGTAGGGTACGAGGCCGTTGGGACAATCCAAGTAAAGATGTTGAACGCGGAGATATCATGACTTATATTTGGTGAAGCGAGCTCGTCACCAAATATGTCATAATATTTGAAACCTTGATACATACAGAGTAGGTCTACTGAAGCTATTTCCTATTTGAAAACTCTAAGACCCATGTTCTTAATCCTTGTACCAGATCGGATGCTGATTCTAAAGATTTTAATTTTCTGCAACTCCAATAATTTCAACTGAACCTAAAGACCAACAAAGTATGAAAATTTAAGCTCTGATATGCTAATTCCGAGACATCGGGTCAGTTCAGCTCCAGGCATCCATGTGTTACAAGTCAACCAGTTTAAGAGACGGATGTCTAGATTTGTGTATTAGACATCAGAGAACAAATTTCTCCTAAGAATACCTTTAAAAGACTGCTGAAAACAGCCAACTTTGATCCTCAGTGAGATCAACATTTCAGAACCGGCAGAATTGAATTACATTTTCCCCAAAATCTTCACAATTGCATGCATTTTCCTAGTAGATGAGCAAGTGATTGTACCCTTAATCCTTCGAAAAAAATTTCTCTAATCCATTTAACTGTAACTTTAGAATAGACAGTAATATCTGATCTCCCGAGTAGAAGATATCTTCCACGCTATAATCATATATGTTAAAAAGCTTCAAATATATGTGACGTCTAGAAGTTTCAAAAGCATACACTGAAATTCTAAATACAGCTAAAGTTTACTATTTGCACACGACTTAATTTTCTAAAGAATTCAAAGCTTCAAAGAGAACACTAATATTGTCATTTGATACCTGGAGTCCCCTGAAAGATAGATTAAAGAGCCCCCCAAGTCTTAAACACTGGAACTCAAGTAGATTTGGACGTCTCAAATATTTCCCACCTAATTTGACTACCAACAACAACCAAACCTTATCCCACTAAGTGGGGTCGGCTGAATGAATCCTAGAACGCCATTGCGCTCATGCCAAGTCTTCCGTTAGCTCCAAGTACTCTATATATTTTCTTATAGTTTCTTTCAAAATCTTTCTAGGTCTTCCTCTACCCCTTTTGACTACCATACAGTGAAATTTCATAACAATTCAAACCAGTTTAAATGTTCCACCAAACCTACACCAAAAACTATATGTTTAAACATCACAGATTCAGGACCTTCAAACGCTTTCTTAAATGCGACAGTTAGGATTTAGCTTTTTCTATATGTGAACAATGAAAACAAGGAACCAAACGGAAAGTTCAAGCATGTCAGGCAGCCCATATAAGTGACAACCAATATATATTCAATTTACGAAAGCTGCATTACCACCTTTTACTCTTTGATCATAAGCAGTGCGATCATGCATCATCAAAGCAGCAGCCTCTCCATTCAATGGATCTGATGGGTTGGGATATAAAAGAAGTTGGGGCAGAAACACTTCAAACACATTAACCAGGTCTGACATATAGTTAAGAAAGACAGGATGTAAATTTCTCATTTCGTCAAGGTAGCAGCACTAGTTATAATAGGATAACTACAAAGTATAAATGAAAGTAAAAGGTTTTGGTCTCCGGATAAACCATATCAATTTTACAGGTACAAGAAAACATGTATAGGCCTACCAAACATGGGGCTCCAAGTTTGGTTGATAACATCTAAACAAACAGATCCCGACCTGGAACTCAAAAAAGCACCATTAGCCAGACGTAAGTACAAGATTTACACTGTGTTCAAGTTTTACAAACAATGCCACATTATTTAAAAGAACATAAGATACAATTAAATGCCAAAGTAGTGAATTTTTGGCATCGTTCAACTCACATTTCATCAACATTTGGGTGGTAGATTTTGTTGACAAAGCCAATTGACGGAGATTTGTAAGGATAAGCATCCAGTAGCTCCACCCTTATTCTCCAGACACCTCCCTGATACAGACCTGCCACATTCCGTTCAAAAAAGGGAAAAAAAGAAAAGAAAAAATCCCACCTTTCATTCAATATCCATATTACCCAGAAGCAAAAGTACCCATAAACTTCCTCCTGTTGAAGAAAAACAGTAAACAAAAAACTTGCAGCCCACTTATGCACAAGCAGTAAAGCAAAATCCATGTCGAAATTCTAAAACCACTCTAATCTATAGCCAAATCAGTTAATTTAGAAAAGTTTAAGTAAATTCCCACTACTAATAATTCCAAAACCCAAAAAAACTTGCACATGATCAACACAAAAGAACACATCTTTACGTAAAATGGATAAAACCCACCAAAGATATAATAAAAAATAGCTGAAATATAAATAAGAACACACAAAGATTAAAAAAAAAAATGAAAAAAAAAAAAATGAAAAATCATGTTCTGGGTTCGGATGATTTACTCTCTTTGGGGCCATTGAAATCCACATAGAACTCTTGCATGCCGTCATTGATCATCTCCACCTTGTAATCACTCATCATCCTGGTTCATACCACCCAAAACAAAACAGAACAAACTTGAAATTAAACGATCAAAATTAGAAATAAATATAAATAAATATTAATGTTTATATAAATTTGAGAACTTGTACAGTTTCATCAAATCCATCTCACGGCGTTTGCTTGGGGAAGACATTTTTTGTGGCTCAGTTGAGGTTTTTAGGGTTGGAGATAGAGGCTGAGGGAGATTCTGAGAGAGCTTTCTGCAACAACAAAAATAAATTCGGACAAACAATCAGAGAAATACGATTGGAATGTATATGTACGTGTTCACAAAAGTCGCCTGCTTTGCGGTAATGGTCCACTAAATTTCTTGAGTTGCTGCTAGATTTCCTAAGGCCCACAGTAATTTCCTCTTCTGCCAAAGTGGTCAAATAGTCAGTAAAATTTCCTTTTTCTTTTTGCTTCAATAGTTAAAATTTCAAGATTATTTGCATTTTTCTGAGATTTATTTATTTAACAAATGATATTATCTACATTAAGATGGAGAATAATGGATTTAGCCTCATAATAGGCTAGCAATAATGTGGTTTAAACTCGCATATGGTGAGGATCGAAACTAAGACTTCTCACTTACAAGTGAAGAGAAATATCACTAGACCGTAATACTAAATGACAATTTTTATTTCCTTTTAGTTTTCAGGAGATGTTCTAGGGATAACCGTGCGGCCCCGCAAATATAGGCAATTCATGGACGGTTCTTTAGTCATTTGCACGCATGTGAGCGTTTATTAATAGTATGCGTTTAACTTTGTTAAGTCATTTATTTGTAAAAATTGCATGCGTATCACCTAATAATGTTACGAGGTTTTTTTTATTCTATTTCAATAATATAGTCTTAATAGTTACTAGAAATTTGCAGATGCAAAAATTAGTAGGGCTTATGGTTTTTTAATTCGTTAGAGGTCTGGAGTGTTGGCAACTTTAGTTCTTTTTAAAAATAATTTATAGTAAAATCTCAAAATTTTCAAATTTTGTTTGCAGGGCTAATTTTGAATTAATTTATATGTATAGCCACATCAAAAACTTTTTTTTACGAAAAAATTGTCATGGACCACTTACAAAACATTAGGGATGTGCGCAAATACCTCACAAAATAAAATGTGACATCCCACATTGCCCAGGGGAGTGATCCTTATATGTATATTCTCATCCCCACCTAGCACGAGGCATTTTGGGAGCTCACTGGCTTCGGGTTCCATGGGAACTTCGAAGTTAAGCGAGAAGGGGATTAGAGCAATCCCATGATGGGTGATCCACTGGGAAGTTGCTCATGAGTTCCCAAAAACAAAACCGTGAGGGAATGGTAAGCCCAAAGCGGACAATATCGTGCTACAGTGGTGGAGCAAGCTCGGGAAGTGATCCGCCCTGGGCGGGGATGTGACAATTTGGTATCAGAACCTAACCCTGGCCGTGGTGCGCTGATGAGGACGTCGGGCCCCTAAGGGGGTGGATTGTGACATCCCACATCCCCCAGGGGAGTGATCCTTATATGTATATTCCCATCCCCACCTAGCACGAGGCCTTTTGGGAGCTCATTGGCTTTGGATTCCATGGGAACTCCGAAGTTAAGCGAGAAGGGGTTAGAGCAATCTCATGATGGGTAACCCACTGGGAAGTTGCTCGTGAGTTCCCAAAAACAAAACCGTGAGGGAATGGTAAGCCCAAAGCTGATAATATCGTGCTACGGTGGTGGAGCGGGCCCGGGAAGTGATCCGCCCCGGGCTGGGATGTGACATAAAATCTTGTTGTTTTGTCGCCTATATTAATCTTCGTTAAAAATTTCATCAAAACACTATTTTGGTTCTTTAAACATTAGATTTCTTGTTATACAGACGTCACTTACTGCTTAACTTTAAATTTAGACCACTGAGGTAAAAGGTAGAAAAAAAAAATTATAGGTATGCATGCGTACAAGATGATAGTGGTACTCATCCAAGTTTAGGCCTTTAAATCTTGATGCCTAAAAAGTTAACTAGACATGTACTAAGCCACCCATTTGGGTGCACGATAGTAGATACTAGATACCCTTTTTGTAATTGCCTGTACATTTTCAATTTCAAACCAACCAAGTTGAGATTTATTTACCCTTTTTCTTATCGCATTTTTTTTCGAGAAAATTTTGCGTATAAAAAACACTCTCATATGTTGTCACTATTTTATATGTAATAATAAGAATAAAAGTCAAGATTAATATGTCAATAGAAAACAAACTTGTTTTAAAATTTGAGTAAAATAATAATACAGTTTGTCGAAAGATAGAGTAAATGAAATGGAAGAATTGGAAGTGAGATGTCTTATGTTCAAATCTCGTAGATGACAAATTCAATACCAAATTAGGTTGCTTATTGTGTGGATTAATCGAACTATCTCTCTTTAGTGTAAAAATATCAATGTACTAAAAAAAATGCAAGGAAAGGTAAAAACGACTTAAAATATGAAAGCAATATTGTAATATATCATTAAAGTTTATTAAAAAGAAAACTAATGAAAATGGTTTGAAAACTTTGGGTTTTAACGATAATGACAAAATAAAAAGTAAATTAAATAGTACTATGATTGATTTTTTAGTGTAAAAATGTGCTTTTTTGTTAAAATAAATAGTATAGAAAGTTTTTCTGTGACATCCCACATCGCCTAGGGGAGTAATCCTTAAATGTATATTCTCATCCCTACCTAGTACGAGGCCTTTTGAGAGCTTACTGGCTTCGGGTTCCGTAGGAACTCCGAAGTTAAGCGAGAAGGGGGCTAGAGCAATCTCATGATGGGTGATCCATTGGGAAGTTCCTCGTGAGTTCCCAAAAATAAAACCGTGAGGGAATGGTAAGCCCAAAGCGGACAATATCGTGTTACGGTAGTGGAGCGGGCCAGGGAAGTGATCTGCCTCGGGCCGGGATGTGACAATTTGGTATTAGAGCCTAACCCTGGCCGCGTGTGTGCCGACGTCGACGTCAGGCCCCTAAGGAGGGTGGATTGTGACATCCCACATCGCCTAGGGGAGTGATCCTTTAATGTATATTCCCATCTCTACCTAGTACGAGGTTTTTTGGGAGCTCACTGGCTTCGGGTTCCGTAAAAACTTCGAAGTTAAGCGAGAAGGGGGCTAGAGCAATCCCATGATGGGTGACCTATTGGGAAGTTGCTCGTGAGTTCCCAAAAACAAAACTGTGAGGGAATGGTAAGCCCAAAACGGACAATATCGTGCTACGGTAGTGGAGTCGGGCTTGGGAAGTGGTCCCGTCCAGACCGTGATGTGACATTTTCATTAAAGTTCTATTTTTTTAACTTGTTTAATCATCTTGCCTCTTGTCGTTTGCAGCTGATTTTGCACCCACATGTCAGCACTAGACACGTTGACGATTTGTAATCGACATTGTGATCTTACTTTTTATATAAATTTGATAATAACCTAAAAACTCCAAATGTAACTCCATAACTTTCATAAAAAAAAAAAAAATGTAACGCCATAAAATGTTAATAGAATCATGATTCATTGAACTTTCCAATGATACAACGGTTGTTGGTCGTTTGGTCCTTGTTTAAGGATAAAATGACCAATATTTTAGTGTACAGATTATATCGAAATACCATGAATTTTTTTGTCGGAATACAATAGAATCTTAATAGTTGGACATTAATTTTAGTGTAAATTAGGTTTCATTCCCTAGTTACCAATGCTCTATTACTGAAGAAACCTTGTTTATTTTCAATTTTTGATCCAAGTCTCTAAACTTCGTACACATAATTATTTTACTATTAATATATTTCCATCTTAGTTATTTATTTTTTAACTTAAAAAACTATAATTTCAAATCCAAATAAATAACTAATGGACCTTAACTAATTTGTTTTCAAATTTCTTTGTATAAAAATAATTGATATCCAAAGTAGGGTATTCATCTCTCCCTCTCTCTCTCTCTCTCTCTCTCTCTCTCTCTTGCCCTCTTTCAATATTCTTCATGTACTACTCATTTAGTATATAACCAATTGTATATGGAGAAGGATTCTCTCCCCTCTATTTGAACGGTCACGGTTAAGCTATATTAACATCTTATATTAATACACAAACCACATAGATTCATAGTACAATGGAATGGATACAATTTTTTTCACTTATAGCATTATACCCATAAGCCTTTTGATCGACCATTCATAATCTACTCATATTAATATGGGTACATTTGTGAAATTCCATTCCTAAATTTTACTATTTGAATTTTGTATTTTGTATTTCTGGGAATTAAATTTATTTTTCGTTCATTTTAGGATTATAGTTAATTGCAAAGTTTGAATTTTCGTATACCTTTTGGGATAAATCTTAGAATTTTTGCAGAAGGGTCGATTCCACAAATGCATAGGTGAAAACAGTTCGCGAAACGGATATAACGAAGAAGTAATAAGCATGTAAAGTTAGGGGCAAAATAGTCATTAGGACCTCTATAAATAGAAGAGTAAACTGCCAATTTACCCCCTAAACTATCATCCAACTTTCGATTTCTCCCCTGAACTTTTTAATTGGAAAATTAAGGACTTAAACTACTTTTTTGGCCGATTTCCCCCTACCGTTAGTTTTTCATATATTTCATCCAAATTAACGTTAACTCTTATCATGTACAAGCCACGTAACTCTCATCTGTGGACAAAAGTGTCACTTTACTAGACTTTCAGACATAAAAGCTATAGAATCACACATATTTGCATAGGTTTATATTTTAGAAATCTAATGTTTTCAATTATTTTAAAGAATGAAGCGACTGAACTACCCACACATGTTGTGCACATACTTCCATTTAACAGAAATTTGGATGGAATGAATGAAAAATTAACAACAAGGGGCAAATCGGCCAAAAAAATTAGTTTAAGTCCTTAATTTTCCAATTAAAATGTTAAGGGGGGAAATCGAATGTTGGGTGATAGTTCAGGGGGCAAATCGGTAGTTTACTCTAAATAGAATGCTCCAAATTTTTTGGAAGGCCTTACCATTTCTGGAAGGTGGAATTACGGGCCTATCCAGAGGGACTTAAGCCATCTCCAACCGATCCGGCCAAAGGATCATAGGGCTAAAAATAGCCCGTTTTGACACAAAAACCGTCTTCAACCGAGAGATAGGCCGAAGGTTTTGTGGGCCCCCTCCAACCAAAAATCTGAGAACAGGCCAGCGGGCTGGCCAATATCAGCCAGCCAGCCTTCACTTCTTCCCTCAATGGATCTATCTCTCTCTGTCTCTCTCCCTCTCCCCCTCCTTGCTCTATATCTTTGCACCGACAACCCCACCCACCACATGAATCCCACCGACAACCCCACCCACCACATGAATCCCAAAATTCGATTACGACCCACCGATGGTTGCCAATTCATTAATTAGTTCATAACATGAATTTTGAGCCGAGAAGCAACAATTTAGTTGCCATCTTCATCTTCTATATCGTGGAATTTCGACTCAAAAAATTGTCTTCCTCCCTCCCTTCCCTAATGTGTGATTCCAATGCACACAAACACTGACTACCCAAAATTCATACAGATAATGCAAACATCAATTCCTATTAAGTATAACATTTTTTCTTACATGAAGATAAAATCAACTAAATCCAAGAACTAGCTGTACCATCACATCTGAGCTCTCGCAAGCCTAGCAACCCTCAACGACGGCATCCACGGCGGAGAACCCATTATCCACATCTGAGCTCCTCGCAAGCCGAGCAACCCTTACTAAATTACCAAGGAAAGTAGTAAACATGTAAGGATTAAGATTTGTAGAGGGCTCAGACTGTTGGCAGCCATGGAAAGGGGCAATGATTGCTGCTCTGTTATCTTTGGAGCTGCTGGGCACGAGTTTGACTAACAGGTGTTTTAGTCCAAATGCACATTTTGTCAATGTGGCTTAACCAATGGCTATGTGATAAAAAAATAAAAAATAAAACCAACGGCTAACATTGTCAAATCAATTAATATATAGGGGCATAGTTGTCCTTTTAAGAGTGTTAACAAAGAACGGGCCAAACAAATACAAAAAAAGATAGATGATAAGAATATACAACGGAACACTTCAGATTACACTGAAATGAACAAGACCTATTTTGATAGGAAAAAGAGTGAAATTATGGTCCGACGGAAGTTGTTTACCTCCGACTATAATCCTAAAATGGCAGATGATAATGATGATGATTATAGACTTTAAATTTAAGTTGTAATAGTTTTTAAATTTAAGTTGTAGTTTTTAAATTTAAGTTGTTGTAGTTTTTAAATTAAAATAATAAATTATGTTTGGTCCATGACCCTTTGGCCCCTCGGTTGGAGATGATTTTTTGTCACAGGGCTATACTTATGCTTGGCTTATGACCCTTTAGCCCCTCCGTTGGAGATGGTAAGAAATGTGATATGGTACTGTTTATTAAAATATTAATTTCTTAAAGGGCTATAGGGCTAAAACGAGCATTTTGGCCCTTCTTCGATTGGAAATGACCTCAAATCTCTATAACCACGACCCGATTCCTAGACGGGTCTTTCCGACGCCTTTCCAAGGTGCTCTGACGACGAAATTCGCCGTCTCCACCACCACCGTTCGGTTCTCTAGCCATGACGAACGGAGCACATTATAAAAAGCTAATAATAACAATTATAGCGTGCGCTTCGCTAATCACCTTAAACCACCAGCCCTTCTAGTGCTAATCTTCATTTTCACTAATCACCACAAGCCATGTACAGTGCTATCCTATATTTTACTTGAAAAAGTAAACACCTCATGAAATGCTACTAGTTTACAATAATGAACTTGTTATTGGCACTTCAAAGTAGTCCTTTTGCACTTGTTCTTAATTTAGAAAACACGGGTATGAGTTAAATATGACAATTTCTTGCACAACTCATTAACCCGGCACAAAAGGATACGAAAGCTAACAGGTTTCTGGTCAACATGTTAACTAATCAAGTCGTTATCGGATCACCCCTAAGAATCCGTTAGCAGGTTTATTGGCATGTAACCTGTTTCAATCCATTAAGAAAAAAGTTAGTGTGGTAATTTTAAACTATTAAAAAAAGTTTACTACAATAGCCGTAGAATTTAATCTCACATAAGTTAGATTAAATCCTTACGGTTGGATTTTTTTAATACCTTCTCACTCTATATATCATCTCTCCCCCATGCCAGAATCAAGAGACTCCTAGTACCAACTCTGTTTTTATTCTCGTTGTCTCATCGCATCTTTCTGTCTCCGTCCAAACCACTGCCACGGTCACAGACATCTAAACTCGATGAATCACAACCATCACCATCGACCCGACCCGCCCATAACCTAAATGCAAGGTTGCGAATCAAGATACAAATGAACAGCTACCTACAAGGTACCCACATGAACAGGCAGTTGGAGGTGTACGCGTTCACATGTGTTTAGCATAGCATAAAAAATCACAGAAGTGCTTTTTTCAGAAGCAGCTTGGGGAAGTACCTTGTAAATGTATAAGCATCAATGTTGTCTTAAGCTCAAATATCGTTGAAAAATATGGAAAACTTCAGCTACCGTGTGCTTAAATACTAACAGACTCGGTGTGCTTTTTTAAAAAGGAGCAGCCAAGGTGACCCAAAAACAGGAGCAACTATATGTATATATGTATAGTATTAATAAAAGACAGACCGATGAACATGTATAACGCGAAACTGTATGTCAATCAAATCAATCAAAACTGATCGCCAAACTGAAGAGTTATATACAAGAAATCTGAAAACCAACAAGAACCTTCCATCTTCCATTACACTAAGCGAATCCACTGCCAGCAACAAACAAGTAATTCAATGCCATTTATATGACAAGGGAGTAAACAAAAATCAGCAGCTCACATATGGACAGGCTCACCACACGAGTAAACAAAGAAACTATACTCGGAAAAAAGAGAGAAGAATACGTTCATCTTTCTTGTTTGGAAACTAACTTCCCGTTGGGGACAACAAATCTAACTACTATTCCCATCTTCAATATCTATTTAACCCACGTCATTCTATCATTCATAATACGTTGCTCTAAGATCTAATGTGTATGCACTGCAAATAGAAAATCGAGTTCAATACTAATTTCACGCCAGCGTCAACTCTACCCCCTCTTCCTTTTCATTATCATTGAGTTGAAAGGAAACAAATGCACAAAGGCACTGCATTTGAATGAGCATAGCCTAACAAAAGCAAAGACCAACCATATCTGTAACTGGCACCGAACAGTAACACAAATGGAGGAAAGAAGAACCTTCTATCATTTGTAACCTCTGCTTCTCAAACCATAATTCAATAAGGAAATAACTGGACTTCAATTGCTGGTTGCTACTAGATTGGAGGCTCAAATATCATTTCCTGCATCGTAAGTGAAGAAAAGGCCTCTCAATATTGTAGGAGACAATGGATATCTCTTCTCGTTAAATCACAACAATAGGAAAATATTAAACAAAGGCAAACCTGATCACACACAGGACATGTGTCACTTCGTTCCATCCATTCAAGAATGCAAGCAAGGTGAAAATGATGATCACATTTTGTAGTTATTTTTGGATTTTGTGGATCATACTCTGCAGAGAAGAAAGGAAATGATCTAGTAACTGAATGTGTCACATATTTAGAGGCAAGCAGAAAACAAAGAGTGCAGTTTGAATAGACAACTTCCAGCAACAACGTCGTTGAACACTAGAAATTAAATGAAGGAACTTCCTCTTTAAAAGAAAGATAACAGTTTAACTATACAATTCTAGAATGGTTGAGCTAAGGACTTTACCTTCCAAACAAGTGGGACAAACATCCTCTTCCTCTATTGCTAAAGTAATAGATTCCACTGATTTCGCAAGTTCAACTTCTGACTTATTCACTGGATCAAGTTCCAAATCCATTTGGGCTTTGCAGTCCGCATCCTTCAGGTCTGCACACTTGGGTGAAGCTTCTTGGGTATTTCCACCAACTGCTTCTTGAACAGAATCAGAATTTGTTGTTATTTGCAATGCTGCTTCACTCTTGCTGCCACAGATCTCTTGTGCCGGTGGTGGAGTATGAGCATGCTCTAAAGCCACATCATATGCAATAGGGGCAGGAGGTGGTCTATAAGTGTCAGGTATTGATGTATCCAAATTTGTATCAACTAGGAGCCCAGTAGAGAGTGCAGAGGCACCTCCTTGGCGAGACGATAAGGGAATGTGCTCATCCGAGGTCCTTGGACACTGCATTACAATTCAAGTTCAAGAGATATATAGAACAAGAAACGAGATAAATCACAAAATCGACTTCACTGCCAACACACTCTGATTTAAAGATTGAATTCATTAGTCACGTCGATTATCAAAGGCTAAATCCACTTAAACATTTAGAAGAAAAAAAACAACCACACGAAATGTTTTTAACAAAAGAGACGTAGCTCAACACTATAGAACAATATTTAGGGTGAGTGAGGGAAAGCATTCTGCTTACGTAATAGTATGTTGGTGCAGCATTCAGCTCCGTTCCTTTGGATGAACAGCAGCAGCAGCCTCCCATTATCTTCTTTTACTTACTATCTTCACTGCAGACCTAGAACTCGACGCACTTGGTGCCACATATCCCCTTCAACATAAAAAACACGAAAAAGGCTGTTAGACAACGGTAACAATGTAATACGTTGACCAATATCCACAACACCAAAAAAATATAAATTACGATTTCAAACCCCATGTCCAATTACTACGTTTCGAGGCTTGACACCCCCAGATTAAACCAGCGGTTCAAACACAATAAACCCAACAGGTTCCTAGTGATATTAGTACAAAACCCCCCACCATGTTAATTACTGCAAAACCCAATAAATCCATCATATTTAGCAGCAAAACCCAATTCATGGAGCTCAAAAAATAATTAAAAATTAGTGAAGAGCCAAACTTCTCCAATAACACCACCCAATTTTATACACTTTTGAACAATTATCACTAGTAAAACAGCATCAAATCATCATGGAAGCAACTAAAGCAATCAAATTATACTTATAGAAACAAATCTATAATCAGCTGTAAAAGCTGGAAACCAATGAATTAAAAGCGGAAACAAAAAATCGAACAGGGTTTTACAGAATAATTCTTGAAAAACCGAAAAAAAACAAAGAGGAGGAAAGTAAATAATATCAACCCGAATTTAGCAACGGTTTGAGAATTATTTGAGTACCTTTTTGTTGATTGAAGACGCTTCGATAGGAATCGGAGTTGGAATTGGGAATTTTAGAGAGAGGGAAGGAGGTGAGGGTGGAGAGAGAGAGAGAGGGGGTGGACAAGTTGGAGTGCGTTTTGGAGGAGTGATGGCTTTTGCTTCTTTTTTCTGTTTTTGGGTGTGTTTTTGTATGTGTGAACTTTTCAGTGGGGAGAAAATAAAAAATACTAAATTATTAGTTATGCTGAAAACTATGAGTCTGGATTCTCGTTGGATCATCTTTGTAAGGATCTCAAAAATTCGTAAATTGTGTACGTTTATTGTATATCGTGCGGTTAAAAATTATTTTAAATATTTGTATTTAAAATTAAACACAAACAGTACTTGACAAAAATTGATCGCATGATGTACGATGAACATACATGATTCATGGATCCCAATGATCCTCACCAAAAGGACCCAGAGAGGATACTGTTGAGAAAACTATGAACTATAATAAAAAAAAAGTTTGTTTGTGGCCTATTTCATCTAAGTGAGAGAGGATGCGGCAATAGCAGGAAGAAGATCGGAGAAATTGTAGAATGCTTAGAATCGTGTGATTCTTCTTATATCAGTGCCTTAAAATATAGTAAACAAGATAAGATAATTAACTTATCTTCCAAGTAAGTACAATCCCTAGGTAATCTAAAACCTAATCTAACTAGGATTTACACATTCACCTATTATTTACACTCTCTCTTGAGTGTGTAAATACTCAAGTAGATGTAACATCAGATTCAGCAGAGTTGATGAAGTCGTCTCATCAACATTGATTAAGGAACACACTAGTCTCAAACAAGAGAACTTGCATATGGATATAATTCTCACAAACCCCGCTATGGTAAAACCCAATATGCGACAAAAACTCATGTCAAAGGAAAAAAAAAGGTGAATTAATAAAGTCAATCTTTGTCTATGGGTAGTGGCAGAGCCACTTAAGAACCAGGAGAGGTCCGGGCCAACCCTGAAATTTTCATTTTGTAGCTTCTCTTTGTATTCTTTTGGTTGGATACTCTGCATTCTTCGACTTTATTATATTTCTCTAATTGACAAAAAAATGTGTTCTACAATACTATTGTTATGAAACCAAAGCCTTATATCAACTAGTTTTCTTTAGTTAGTTCACTATTTTGCATGATAGAGTGTTGTTTTATAATGAAACAACGCATATATGAATTGAAGAAGTATTCATATTGAATCACAAGTTCCATAGTTGTAGTTTTGAGCAATGCATGTTAATTTTTGTTCAACTTAAATGTAGAAACTTATAAAGGAGTTCGGTGTTTATAATATAATTATCTCCAAAAAAAAAAATAGTGACTTTATCGCTTTCTTTTGATTAAAAATTTTCATTCCACTACAACAAATGAACCTTTTTTCTCCTTAGTTATATTAATTTTTGTCAATTTCTTGCATATGGCTTAGAGGTCCCTCATAGCTTCGATTTCTGGCTCCACTAGTGTCTATGAGATGTACACAAGGGTATGACTAGCCCATGATGGGCGCCTCGTTAAAATAGCAAAAACCTAAAGGGAAAAATCCTCCTAAGAGTACATTAAGATCAAGCGAGTATACTTTGGGATATTCTTCCTAAGTTTGACATAATTCCAAAGAGAACTAACAATGTTACAACTCTGAAAGTTTTCGCATACCAATTCCTCCAACAAGCTTCTGGAAAGTAAACTTCGGTAGTGACTTAGTGAATAAATCGGCTAGGTTGTCTTGGGAACATATTTGCTTGACTTCAATGTTCTAATCTACTTGTTGTTGATGAGAGAAAAAAAAAGTTTGGGTGCAAAATGCTTCGTGCTGTCTCTTTTGATGTATCCCTCATTGATTTGTTCAATACATGCTACATTATCTTCATAAATCCTTGTAGGGACGTCAACGATGGAAGAAAGTCTCAGGTGCTTTGAATAAATATCATTACTACTCTTAACCAAAAGCATTCCCAAGTAGCTTTATGTAAAGTGAGAGTATGGCTCGAAGAAGTCACAACTAAGGTTTGTTTGGTTGACCTCCAAGACATTGTCGTGTCTCCAACGATAAATACATGACCCGTTTGCGAATGTGTCTTATGCGGGCCAGACAAGTACCCTGTGTAGCATAACCAACAAAGCAAGAATCAACCTGAAAACTGAGGGGCTAGTAGCTCTCTCTCGGAATTGTAGTGAAAGAACAAACCCAAATCCGTCGTACCTTTGAGGTAGCGGAAGATGTCTTCAACACCTGTCCAGTGTTTGCGTGTAGGCTCGTTGCTATATCTTGCTAAAAGTTTAACGGCAAATGAGATGTCTGGTCTAGTGCATTTGAGCTAAGTACAATAAAGTGACAATTGCACTGAGGTATGGAACTTCACATTCCAAGTGTTCTTCCTTATCTTCTTTATAACGGAAAGGATCTCGTTTAGCATCTAGCGTTTGAACGACTATAGGAGTACTTGAAGGCTTCATTTTATCCTCATTAAAACAACACACTTATGAGTGTAGTTCAACTGATGCACAAGAGTCTGAACAATGCTCGATCTTTAAGCTGAGACAGTATTGAGTTTTACCAAGATCTTTTATTTCAAATTTTGACTTCAGGTGCACAATAGTTTTCTCAAGCTCTTTAGGAGTCCCAATGAAATTCATGTCGTCGACATAAACTGCAACAATCGCAAATCAGGAATGTGATTTCTTCTGGAACGTGAAGAATAAAGAGCCTCTTGAATAATCAATTCAGTACCATTAGACAACATTATATGGGCAATACCATAACCCTCAATTAGGTTAGAATGGCCTGAAAGGGTTGCCAGGTGCGATAATTTAGGTATGAAGTTTGTAAAATAGATGCATTGCTGCAAAATAGAGTTCGTGGTTGCACTACCTGCCAAATAACTAACTTCCCCACTAGTCATACCTGGAAATAAATTAATTGAATTGGTCACAAATATAAGGAAATTCGAAAAATTTCATTCGAGAAAATGACCCATAAATTCAATATCCAAAATTTAAAACAGACACCAACAAATAGTCCAAATAAAGGAAATTGTTCAAAACTTAAACCAATAAAATAATTTGGATGGGGGTTTGAATCCAGCCACATGTATGTCTGCGATTTTATTCTTCCATTGGAGCAAATACTTCTTGAAAGTTAGACACCTCCATCTTTATATCTTCCAATAACAAAACTTCAGCAAGTTTGATTCAAACTTTTAACGACATGAATGATACTCAGCTACAACCTTGGCGGGAGCTCGGCATACACGGGGTCAATGGTCATTCGAACAACAACAATAACACATATCCGCATCCATGGTGTCAGGTGCTTTACCTTTGTTCTTGAAGTTTGAGGTTTTGTGAGCAAGGTTGTAGCGTTTTTGGGCTTTGTTCCTCCCTTGGATGGGCCTTCACTTCATCGACCTTGGGCTTTCGGTTTCTAGTTGCACCTACCACGACTAAAACGGTGGTTTGGGCGTTGATTCTCGCTAGTATGTGGTTTAGGCATAGCGGTCTAGCCACTGGGTCCAACCTGATGATTTTTCATAAACATCTGGTTTTGCTTTTCAACAAGAAGTAAAATAGACATTAAATCCGAAAACTTAGTAAACTTTTGTGCTTGTATGGTTGTTGTAAGGTAATATTACTGGCATGGAAGGTCGAATAGGTCATCTACAAGAGATCCTGTTCAGTTAAGTCCTCGTTACGGAACTTGAGAAGTGATCAAATTCGACAAACTTTAGAATTATATTCATTCACATACTTAAAGTCTTGGAAGCATAAATGTTGCTAGTCGTGTCTTGCTTCAAGCAATAATATGTCTTTTTGGTGATCAAAACGATCTGCCAAAAAACTCGTGGATCCTCCCCAACGAGGTACTCGGTTTGTAATGCATCATGCATATGCCTTCGTATGAACATCATGGCAATGGCTTTGTCAGCTTCACCAATTAGGACATCTATCTCAACTTCTATGGTAGCTGAAAGGCTCTTAGTGGTGAGGTGGAGCTTCATATCTTGTACCCACTTCGAGTTTATTCAAATTTGACATGTCGATGTCATAAAAGGGATCAAATTTGTAGTTAGTGCAATGAAATAAAAAATTATCAATCCATACACAAGGAGTACAACGTTCAGATTCGTCGAGTAAAGTAAATAGGGAAGGTATAAGTTTGTTATGAATGAACCCGTATCGAATACAGGTAATAATATCAGCAAAAGAACGTTCTCCCGTGCTTCCAGACATGCTGAGCTCCACATATTCATTTATAGAAAAAGGGGGGGGGGTCAATTTTGGGAAAGATAGGATCAGTAAATGGAAATTCACTGAGATTGAATTTAAGTGGGATCTTCAATAGTGGTACCGAGGGTGTCTTTAGAGTATACCGAATCAATATAGCTATCCTTCTTCTCTTCTATTAGACATGTTTTGATTTAAATTTTCATGAAAAACTTGGATTTTCATGGCACTTATTCGAAAAAAAAAATTCGAGTTCGAATTTTATGAACTTCACGTTCATAGATTCTTGCAAGAAAACAAAATATATATAGAAAATATGCAACATATAATATAAATGCACGTAAGCCTTCAAGGCCAACTACAATAATTAATGGATAACTTTGGCGTTGTTGGGTTCCGGCCAACAAAGAAGAAAGGGCAAAAAGTGTAAGTCCAATAGTTATTGCCTAAAAATTATCAGGCTCCGATCGTCGGTGGTACAAATTGGACCAAAAAGTATAAGTCCAAGAGGAGAGGATTGACTCGTCCTCCAAATAAGTACAATCATTAGAATAATGGGTAATTTAAAACCCAATCTAGTTAAGATTTGCACAATTACATATTAAATAATATTCAAAACATTTCTCTTGTATTCTTTTTCAAAGACTATCCCTTTTGGGAAAATTCATTTTTATCATATTTCAAATCCAACCCAATCTTTTTTGCAACTCAACTCAAGTTCCAACTTCGTGATCTTTTTTCTTCATGCGTTGATATTGAGCGTGGAGTTTGGTTAAGCAACACAATGCATTGTTAATAATTGATATTGATCTCACCACTTGAGATTTGAACGTAAGGCTTTCCATTTCCAAATAATTCATACATATCTATTTTTGAAATACATGATCAATACTGCACCAAAAACCGTATTTATTTTACATAATTGAGGATTGATTAGTTCTATTTCCACCATGCTTTTCCATCGTTCAAAAGTTTAAACAGGAAATAAAGGTACCATCTCAGCAATCTACACCAGTAAATAAAGAACCTGAAAAAACTATGATTGGAGAAAAACAACTCTCACGGTGCAAAACCGCTCTCTCCCCTCACGTGAGACCATGCCCTATCACGTGAAGAGAGAGAGAGAGAGAGAGAGAGGGAGAGGTACATTATTCACCCTCCTCGGCAGTCTACACATTAGATTTTGTACAAAACCATATGCTTCTAAAACCAAGCACATCATATAATACTCAAATGGCAGATATAATGATGAGATTAATATCTAATACTGATATAGAACAACTCAGGTATGAGCCCTGTACTACAATGTTAGGATTCGAGGGAGACGATACTAAACCCGAACTCTCCACATCAGTCTATGATTAGATCTGATCTAACGGTTAGGGTAGTAGATACATATGTATATTATTATACAAACATACTTCCTTTTTTTAACATTCACATTTGTCGCTCTGCTTGTTTCCACTTCCTACTCCTGGCAGCATCGACGAATTCAGTGACCACAGATACCTCATCCAACGGCATCTGCAACCAAGAACAAAAAATATGACACTGAGTGTTCTATTTATGCATGCAAAACATATATGTAATTTTGTGTGTACAGAATCATGGATTCATGAGTGAGAGATACCTGCTGCAAGGTAAAATGTCGTTGTGCAGCATTGATCAACTGTTCCCTTGTTGGATTAGAATTCCCGCTTAACTACAATTTCAAATAGCAAGAGCTGGATTTAGTCGAAAGATTTCATCAACAGGCAGAACAAACAAAAGAAGAGCAGGAATCAGCGATACCCACAAGATTGAAGTGTCTGCAATACCTCCTCAATGAGCTTGTTCCTAGTTTTCCCAAGTTTACTCTCTGATTATCCACGCAACACATTAGGCAACACAGTAATGGCGTACATAGAAATTCGGATATTCATATAGCATTAAGCGTAAAAGGATAACTATATATCAGAGCATGAACATTTTGCTTAGCCTAAAAACGTGTCATCTACTAGAACCATTGGAGTGACCGATACAAGCATATTGAAGCAAACCGTTTGTTATTACTTGAGTAGGAAATCATAAGCATGAAAAACCATTTCATTCAAAGGACTAAAAGCAGTAAAACTCCCAATTCATAATTTTTTATTCCTCACAAAGTTTACAGCGTTGTTCTTCAAATAAGTGAAAGCATATTGAGGAGACTCATTTAGTAGACAGGATAAATTTTCAATGACAAACATGAATACCCAGATCTCTCTTTCCAAGTTACTTACCGACTGGGGTGCTTGGATGTATTGAACTTCTCTATAACTGCCACGATTCATTGACTTCGTTGCTGAGGATGGAACATATGGCCTTGAAAATCGAACTCGTGGTTTGCTATGCTTATGGAACTCAAAACATCTAGCTGCCAAAAGAAATACAATTATTAACATTAGATTGAAGCTCTAAATGAACGCCAAACGTAAACCATCATAAAAAGAGTGACCCCATACACAAGGATCCCATCATCAAGATCCAAAAAGGGACAGCTGTAGAGTCGTATCCTTCGTTCTCTGAAGGCTGTTTTCCCATTTCGAGTCCACAACCTCTAGGTTGCGATGGAACAACCTTACCAGTTGAATACCACACCTAAAGAAATTAGAATTGACTCAATTGATGCTTCATTAGGTATGGTATATGCAACTTACAGAAATCATTTTCCTTATCACCGTGGTCAGAGCTGCTGCTCGAGTACTCAAGATTGGAATCTTCCTCATTTCCTGTAGGATGTTCGAGCACACTCAATGCATTCCTTTGCAGCTTAACTTCAACCCCATTTTTCAGAACCTTGTATCGCCAAAAATTAACGGTTTAAAATATAAATACCCAAAGTGCAGAGTAGGATAACAATGACAATCCATACTTGAAACTCAAGTTTTGAAAGAATTTGGATAATAACAAGCCCTACATGCCAATGATGAGAAGGATTCCATACATTTAGTTAATTCTCAAAGCGTAGATTATGATCTAAATTACAAAATCGCAACAGAATAAACAGAACCCAGAACAGAATTTCTGATACAAAATATATTCACAATTACATGAAAAAAAAAAAAAAATGGAAGACATGATTGCTTATATGATGCAAATTGTAGTTGTCCACTCCAAGAAACCTAAAACCCTAAATTTGTTTGAAATGCAAGACCCACAATTATTGTTAGAATACATTTAGTTAATCCGGAATCATATTTCTACAATTATTCTCACAGCAGGAAACAGCAAACCACATGAATGCTTTTCCTTTCCCAACCAAAATTACCAACAAATCCACATGAGAGCAAAATTGGCAAAACAGTTGAAAAATAAAAGCAATAACGGTATACAAAGTCCACAAAAAACCAAATTAAGAAACAATTAAATTAAGACAAAAATAGTTAAAGAAAAAAAGGTAAAAAGGGAAGAATACCAGCCAGTGCCAACCCCCAAGCCCAACAGCTTTCTTGACCACGCCTTGAAGACCCACCAAAATAGACTTTGTTCTATTGTTTCCAGTGACAATAACCTTTGTGTGCCTGGGAAGAACTGAAAGTTCCTCATCCCCGCTTTCTTCGCGAAAAGGCGATAGAATCCGAGAACCACAGAGCTCTGCCTCCAGCATTCTTGCCACTTTCAATCACAAACTATAACTTGTACAAAACCCAATCAAACAACCAAAATAAAACCACTTCACAGTTCAATACCCAACTTCTGAATTCGACAATTCGAGATACAAAAACCCATTCATTACTTGGGTTTTGCTTACATTCATTACTGCTAAAATTACCCGGACAGACTTATGAACCAATTTAGCCAAGAATATCCCTACCTCCAATTCCTGTGGCACAAGAAAAATGGAGGCCTTGTGTTTTATAAACCCAGAGACCTGCAGGGCCTGGAATTAATTCTAGTGAGAGAGAGAGGGGAGAGAGAGAGTGGAACCTTTCTCTGTGAATGTGAGTAATTCTTGAGCTCTGACACGAAATCTTTAGGGAAATCTTCAATGCTAAACATAGAATTTCAATCACTGGTTCACGGGCTAAGATTGATCACATTAAATGAAGCACTATTTCCTTCAGATCAAAGACATATGCTTTTAACCAAGCTTCTCTCTGCATGCAAAACCTGAATCAATACACACACATATACATATATAATATATATGGGATTAGTTTTCTCACAGTTTCTGCATTGAATTTAGATTGAAGGGGATTTTTCTCTTTGAAAATTCACCAGAAACAGCTGAACATTTTTCAGAAAATAATAATAAAAATAAATAAATCTATTTACTTCTATGGTGAAATTACGTCAGCACTCAACCAAAGCAAATCCCAAAACTTCTGTTTGGCAGCTGAGAAAGTGTCAGAAATTCAAAAATAAAAAGTTTTCAAATTTTTTGGCCTATTTAAAAACTGAATTAAATTTTTTGGAGAATAAGCAACATGATTAAATAAAGGAGAATAAGCAAAACAGGCACAAAATTTTTGGATTTTTGGTTCAACTGTTTGTGCCCCCACTACTGGATTTTTTTGTTTTTTTTATTTCAAAAAATAAGCTCAACCATGAATTCTTACAACTTGATGGCATTACAACCTGTGAAATTTTCAAAAAAATATTCAAATAATTAATCCCAATAAACCCATAAAAAAATCATAAATGACAGTGAGGAGCTGCTAAAAAATAGCAGCTTTTGAAGCCAAATTCAGCAAAGACTTGAACTTAAACCAGTAAAAACTGCAAATGGCTGTGAAACCAAATGTGTCAAAATCCCAATTCAAAAAAGCAGAGAAAAAGTGCATTACCTGTTTGGATGCCGAGAAAATAATAGGAAACTCTCAGAAAAACCCAGGTAAGAAAAAGTACCCAAAACAAGTTTTTGAATAATTTGGAGTGACCTTGAAGACTGGAGAATTGGAGGATTTGCAGATTGTGAAAAATGCAGAAGCTTTTTTGAGAATGAGTGAAAAGGATTGGAATTTGCTGATGAGAGAGAAAATAGAGAGAGAGAGAGAGGGTGGGGAAGGAAGGAAGGAGCACACTAAATGCTTACCAACTGCCAAGGGAACTACCTGCCATTTTCCGTACAGTCACGCCTTTGTAACCGGTAGAAACGGGTAGTGCCGGTTGAAATGGGAGGCTCCGGCTCGGCTGGGATTTTGTGAGCCGGGTGGTTTTGTTGTGTAGTGGGAGCTTAAGGGTGCGTTTGTTGCACTGGATTGTCTCGGACTGAACTAGCTTCAGGACTAAGTTGGACTGGCTTAGACTAAACTAAGTTGGACTAATTTAGTGAAACCTTTGGTGCAGCGTCGGACTAAGAAGCATGATTGCAATATTATATTATTTTATATTAATTTGATGTATATTAATTAGTATTTTATTATTACTTTATCTTTTTCCTTCTTTTTTTTTTTTCTAGAATCATCACTCTCCAATATCTGTAAGCTTCATTTTTCACTCCACCTCTCCATCTCCCTTTCCCTTTTTCCCCATTTTTGTCTCTCCGCCTCTCCTTCCAATTTCCTTTTCTCCCCATTTTTGCCCCACATTTTTTTCGAGGTCATGTTTTGCAGAAAGACACAATCTTTGAGAGACCCACAGGAGGGAAAGAGAGAGATATCGAAATCAAGGGTTGCTTTCTTGCATGTTTTGGTTCTTCCAAAAACAAAAAACGCAGGAGTAATACGATGTCCTTTGTGAGTCTGTTCTTGCATCTTTGAGAGACCCATAGGCAGTGTCTCACTCTCCTCTTCTTTTTTTTTTTTTTTTTTTTTTTTTTTCTCTCGCTTCACCTTTGTGCTCTCCCATTGCTCTCTTTGAATTTCTTTTTTCTTCATATTTGGTACTTGTATTTTCTGGGAAAATCATAGTTTGGTCAAGAAAAATCACTTAAAGTCACTGCACTCATGCTAAAGTTTTCAATCTTGTTGTTGGTGGAAGAATTTGGGTCACCATGAGACCCGTTTTTGCCGTCGTTCGGGTCAACCTAGATGGCAAAAAACCCTAAATCACCGACCCAGATGCCAAAAGGGGGCTAGGTCTACTAGACGACGGAGATCGGTGACAGTCGTTTGAGGTTTGGTCAGTGGAGAAGGGAGGGCTGATGCTACTCATGCGGGTTTGAGCGATGGTACTTGCAGAAGATGGAGACGGGACTAGCAATCCCGTAGTTTTTGGGGATCCTCGTTAAGAACTCGTAACGAGGTGAATAATCTGAGCGAGTCCGACCTAAGCTCATTAAATCTAATCCAGGTGCAGACTAAACAAGGGACTACAGTCTAGTCTAATCCAGTCCCCCCTAATTCGGTTAAACAAACAGGCCCTAAAGGACTAAGGCCATCTCCAACCAAAGGCTGATCAGAGGGCTATTGTTTTAACCCTCTGGTCCTCCAAGATATTAATATTTTAATGAACAGTATAGGGTCATATTTGGTTACATCTCCAACTAAGGGCCATAGGGCTTGTTTTAACCTTGTCATAAAAAACCGTCTCCAACCAAGGACCATAGGGCCAAACATAATTTATTATTTAAAAACTACAACTTAAATTCAAATCCAACAGCTAGGTGATGTCAGCATGACGTCAACTAGCCGTTGGATTTGAATTTTTTTTTGTTTTTGCTATAAATAGGGTGGATATTGGGCTATAATTCACATAACTTTAAATTCAATATATTTCAATTCAATCTCTTTCAATTCAAGTTTGCAATGAATTCCAACTTTGGATCCTGTTCGGATTCCAACTGGGGGTCCTCATCTAATTCCAAATTGGAAGAAAAATAGGCGCAAATGAGACGAGAAGATGAGGAGTCTGATGAAGAAGTTCAAGTAAGGCGCAAGAAACAAAACAGAGCAGCAGCCATGCTGTGTCAGTCAACTGAGGAACAACCTCAATAGGGTGGCTCTGTTGCTGGTCGTTTTTACAAACCACGAAACAAAGCGATGACGCATGCCAATCTGATGAACAACTACTTCAACCCCAACTCGATGTAGACAGAAGAGGATTTCAAATGTCACTTCTAGATGAGGCGTCATGTCTTCAAGCGTTTACTTCGTGATGTCCAGTAGGTCAATCCATACTTTTGACAGAAGCGGGATAAAGCAGGCCGCCCTGGTTTCTCACCTCATTAGAAGGTTACTATTACACTCCTGATGGCTTATGGCTCCCCAGCTGATTTGATGGATGAAATCCATGGTATGTTTGAGTCTACATGCCCTGATACTCTTGAACAATTATGTGACACAATTGTTCAGGTTTACAAAGACGAGTACCTCCGCGGGCCAAATCAAGAAGATTTTAATCGGCTCATTCGCAAAGTTGAAGACCATGGGTTTCCGAGCATGATAGGGTCATTAGACTGTATGCATTGGGATTGGAAGAATTGTCCCGCCGGATAGCAAGGAAGCTTCTGCGGAAAGTCGAGAAAGCCAACTGTTGTGTTAAAAGGTGGTCACCTCATATGACACATGGATATTGCATGCTTCTTGGGTGTTCACCCTTTTTCAATTGCCTGACGGAAGGTAAATCACCTCAACTTGACTACTACATCAACGTTCGTCAATACAATATGAGGTATTACTTGGCATATGACATCTACCCAAAGTGGGCGACACATGTCCAAGCAATTACAAACCCTAGGAATGGTGTGCAAAAGTTGTTTATCTTACACCAAGAGGCATACCAAAAAGATGTTGAGAGAGCTTTCAGTATTCTACAAACATGGTGGAAGATCATCAGCGAACCGGTAAGAGGGTGTAGTCGAGAAAATTTGGACTCCATTATGATGTCTTGCATCATATTACACAATATGATGGTGGAGGATGAGCGAGATGGGTATATTGATGGAGAGTTCGATGATGACCAAGAAGATCCATATAGATTAAGAAGGGCTCCTGCAAAAATATATGATAGGCCTAATTTGCCTTTCAATCCAAGAACTGGTAGTATCTCTATAAATGAGTACATGAGGTGTTATAGAATAATACGTTCCCGTGCCACAAACAAGTACCTACAACAGGATCTTGTTGCACATCTTTGGGCCAAAAATAGCATGGAGTAGGCGTTTAAGTTTTATGTTGTTAAATGTTTTTAAAAATATTTTTTAAGTTTCATGTTGTTAAATGTTTTTTCTTTTTATATTGTATAATTTTTATGCTGGTTAATATTATTTAATGTTGTTTCATGTTACTTAATTTAATTTAATGTTGTATAATGACTTAGGAAGTTATAAGAAAAAAAAATTAGAATTTAAAAAAAATATGAAACAAATTTTGTAAAATACAAGTTATAGGAAAAAAAAAATAATTAAAACAAATTTTGTAAAATAGAAGTTATAGAAAAAAAAAAATAGAAGTTATAGGAAAAAAATAATAAAAATAAAACTCTAAAAAAAAAAAAAAAACAGTTAGCTGACGTCAACAAGCCGCTGCATTTGAAATATGGCTTAGAATTCCTGTCGGATATATTCATGTCGGTTATATCTGACAGGAATGCTCGAATTTCTGGCTCAACCTGGGGCTGGCTGGATTGGGCTAGCTGGTTGGCCATTTGGCCATTTCAGATTCCGTGGGGCCCATGAGCCATCTGGCCTAACCCTCAGTTGGAGACGATTTTTGGGCTATTTTCGACCCTCTGGCCTTCTGGACCATTTGGTTGGAGATGGCCTAAGGGTGTGTTTGTTGCATCGGACTATCTCATACTAGACTAGCTTCAAGGGCTAAGCTGGACTGGCTTAAACTACACTAAGTTGGATTGACTTAGTGAAGCGTTTGGTGCAGTGTCAGACTAACAAAAATAAAATAATATTTATTTATTTCCTTTTTCTTTTTCCTATTCCTTTTCATTTTTTCCAGAACACTCTTCCTTTTTCCAGACTCTCTCGAGAACCAGAGCTTTCCATCTTCTTTTATCCTTTTTCCTCTTTTCATTATCTCTCTAGAACCAAAGCACTCATTCTCTCTTTATGCCCTTCATTTTTCTAGAAAACTATCTTGAATGAATGAAAGCTCTTACTGTTTTTCTCTTTTTTTATTCTTGAAAAGTTGTTCTGCATAAATCTGTGTTTGACAATTGAAAGATGTGCATAGCTTCTAATGAATTTGGTTTTGCAATTTGAGTATGGGATTTGCAATGGAATCTGGTTTCGTGATTCGAATGTGGGTTGCAATTTCAGCAAATCTGGGCTCTGTCTACTCGCTTTCGAGTCTGGGTTTTGCGATTCGAATCAAAGTGAATAAAACAACAGCGAGATCAGAGAGAGAATGCGACGGGTTCTGGGTTCTGTAAGATTCGAAATGAGCAGACGATGTGATTCTAGGTTGGCGAGTGTTGACAATGTTGGCAACACGAGCAAACGAAAAGAGCAGAAAAAGGAGAAGGAGGGTGATGAAGAGAGAGAACGTGAGAAGACGAAGACGCAGTAAAGGTCTTAGCATTCTCATGGTTATTGGGAGGTCTCGCTAAGACCTTTTAGTGAAGGGTTTTGTCCATGCGAGTCCCCTTTACTTTCATTAATGTTAATCCCAGCACGGAACAAATACGGTAGTGGACTAACAGCTAGTCTAGTCCAGTCCAGTCCCACTTAGTTAGGGTAAACAAACGCCCCTAAAGGTGCGTTTGTTTTACCTCCTTAGGAGGGATTGGCTTGGGCTTCCTTAACTGAGATTATTATCCTATGTTTGATAAGGTCTTAGACTACAATAAATGAGGCTCGCCTCGACTACAAGACCCTTCCCCGCTTTGCTAAACCCCGTTATCTAGTCCCATATTTTCGCTTGGTATTAAGCGGGACTAAAAGAAAATTAAGGCCGAGATCCAGACCCCAGCTTTTGCTTGCTAAATAACGACATCTAATCATTGGGCTTCCTTCTTTTTTTGCGGCGTTGTCACCTGTGGCTAGCAATCGGCGGTGCTTGTTCTTCATTTTTCCTAAAAAAAATCCTAGATGGCTAGCTTTAGGGATGAATAGAAAATTTCTAGAAACCCTTGGGAATTGCTTTCTTCTTTTAACCATCTCTAGAAAAACCCATTGCTCTGTT